TGAAGCGGCACATGCTTGTTTAAAATTAATGTGCATAAATGCTCCAAATATCGTATCATTAATAATGATAACAATGTTGATGAGGATGGTCATAATAAACGTGTTCTCATAACCATGTCGCCTGGCAGGATCTAAAATCCCAGCGGGGACTGTGCTGTGACCCAGCTCCTCCGGGGAGTCGGAAGACGGCCCAGACTTCGCCAGTTCTGCGGCCCTCGCTCACGACGCCCTGTTGGAGTCTTCTCTGGGCCCAGCTGACTGACAGCCACTTCAAATCCTGCCCATTAAAGCCACTTCTCCTGAGAATCAGTCAGAGCGGCCTGAGCTCTAGAGATCTGGCCTTTCTTTCAATTTCCCAGATGACTTTTCCTCCATCCCTCTTCTGTCTGTTACCTCCTTGGACTTCTCTCAGCTGTGTGAGGCAGGAGCCAAGCACATGTAGGACTCTAACCTTACTGATAGGATCGTGGAAATCAGTGTGTGGAAGCGGCCCAAGGCGGGACAGCCAGGAAAGGGCAGAGGCAGGACCCACGTCCTTCCAACTCATCTCTGTCCCCGAGCGCCTGGCATGCAGGCCGACATCCAAGACAGCCTTCAGAAATGTCTGTTAGGGAGGAAGACAGACGGCCGTAAAGGGCTGAATGATGAGAACTTTGCAGAATGAGGCCTTTAAAATCCCTCCGTAGGATGATGGCCTTCCCTCTTTATCACCATCTAAGGGCCGATCCATCGGTGAACTTGCTTCTAAAGAGACTGGGCCCACGTGGGTTAGGCACCCACGGCATCCAGGCCCAACAGAGGCCCGTCCATGAGTCGTGGGGAGGCCTTGCCCGGGCTGGCCCTAACTCACAGAGCACCTCTGTGACCGTGTTGGAAAGGTGCCGTACGCCCTTCCAGCCTGAGCGTGTTTGGTGAGCTCAGCTAACTTCACCCCCTGGGCCAGATGCTAACCCACACCGCTGCGCCCGGCCGCCCTGGATTTATGCAAGACTTCAGGATGTGAAGAGACTGAGAACTACCATCTCCCCTGGAGCCCATGTCACTCTTTGTCCTTATGGTAACCCTGGGCGGCGGCTGCCTGCCAGTAGGGGTGTGCACATGAGTGTGTGTGTGTGTGTGTGTGTACGCGTGTGCTCCCCTGGACTCTGAGAGTCTCAGTACTAGACCCCAAGGAGTTAGGATAAACACAAGTTTCCAAACCCAACCAAACTAAGTTTCCATTCCACCCCCACCAGCACCACAGATAGAAATCACGAATTTGGATGAGAAAATGACATTGTTCAATTCAAATGGAGGCGATGAAGCCGCGTAGTTTTGGCAATACTGGAAACTCTTGTCACTTGTAGAAATCGCTGTTCTTTTCCCGTTCCTTTGAAGTTGTTGCAGACATAGCAAAGTGTTGAACGTAACAGGGTCTTCCCAGTCCACATTTAGTCAGGATTCCAGGCATGGGGCCTCCGCCCTGCAGCTGCGGCTCTAAAGCAGCTGTAGACGGTGCACGAACGAGTGAGCAGGGCTGTGCTTCAACACAGCGTTAGGGACTGAAGCAGGCAGCTGGGGCCTGCACTGTGTCACGGTGGGCTAAGCTGTTGCCTGTGTCGCCAGCATCCCACAGAGGCACCAGTTCGAGTCCCGGCTGCTCCACTTCCTAGCCAGCGTCTCTGCAGTAGCAGATGGCCCAAGTGCTTGGGCCCCTGCACCCACGTGGGAGGCCTGGGTGGAGCTCCAGGCTCTTGGCTTTTGCTTGGTCCAGCCCTGGCCATGGTGGTCATTTGGGGAGTGAACCAGTGGATGGAAGATCTCTCTCTGTGTCTCTCCCTCTCTCTCTGTAACTGTACCTTTCAAATAAACTACTTAAAACCAAAGAAACAAGCCAAGATCAGATCAGTTTGCTGACCTCTGATTAGCACAGCTCCTTACTTTAAAACTACAATTGCTGTTAGACTCTACCTGAGGGCCTTAATCAGGAAACACATATATCACCATGGGAGACTTTTTAAGCCTTTTGAAAATTGCATTTCAATAGAATCGGTGGCCTCCGTGATACTGTGCATTTTGTATTATGCATTCGAAGCCGTCACTCTCAGATGGGGCCCACAGCCTTCACCCCAACCCTGACCCTGAACCTGACCCTGACCCTGACCCTAAACTCTGACATTTAACTAACCTCAGCTCGAGCTTCCTCTCTGCAGAATAGCAGCGCCAGTAATGTCTGAGAGTTCTTACAAGAATCCAATAGAGCTACAAATGCAGACTTGTTTATTTTTTAAGATTAATTTTATTTACTTGAGAGGCAGAATTACAGGGTGGGGTGGGGAGCTTCCATCTGCTGGTTCACTCCCCAAATGGCCACAACAGCCAGGGCTGGTCCAGGCCAAAGCCAGGAGCTTCCTCTGGATCTCTCACATGGGTGCAGGGGCCCAAGCACTTGGGCCATCTTCTGCTGCTTTCCCAGGCCATCAGCAGGGAGCTGGGTTGGAAGTGGAGCAGGCAGAACCCAAACCTGTGCCCATATGGGCTGCTGGCATCACAGGCTATGGCTTTACTTGCTATGCCACAGTGCCCAAACTTGTTTGTTACCTAGAAATAGCTTAAGCAATGTCAGGTATAAACATTTCCACCTCTCCAGTTGTGTCCACTACAGTCCTTTGTAAACAGCAGGTACTGAATAAATGTTGCAGTCAAGTTAATGGAGCCAGGAGCCAAGCATCCCTCCTGGAAGAAGACTTATTGTGAAATATGTAAGAGAGAAGGAGGTGGAAAAGGAGGAGAGAGAGAGAGAAAGAGAGAGAGGTAGAGGGAGAGAGAGAGAGAAGGAGAATGAGAAAGGAGGAAAAGACAGAGAGAACATGGGAGAGCAAGAGAGCTAGGGACAGAGAGAACGGGAGAGAGGAGGGAGGAGAGAGCGGGACGGAGGGAGAAGCGGAGGAGATACAGGGAAGGAGGGGAGGCTGGAGCATCCCGGCGGCTCCGAGGGTTGTCTCCCCTTGTCTGTGCGGGGTTCCCAAGCCTCACCTCTCTTTGGAGACCGCAGTGGGGGAGGAAGAGCGGCGGGGGGGAGGGGGGCGGCCGCGTCTCGCAGACGCCCTGCTGATGTGGCAAGTTTGCAGAGCCCGGCTTGCACAGTTTGTGGAAGCCCGTGAACCTTGAAATAGAAACGCGGGCCTCTTCTTTCATCTCTCTGCGATTTGATAAAGTGTAAGGTAAATGAATGCAAAACATTTTCCCTTTAATTACACAAGGAGAACCAGGGAGGGGCGAGGGGCCGGGGCCACCGGGAATCCACGCTCCTAAGGCAATGAAGCAGAAGAGGGAGAGGCTGCCTCAAGACCCCTGGGAGATTGTAGATGGGGCGGGGGGGGGGGCAGCCCCCGATGTGAAAGGTTACCATGACAACCCCCCAGCACCCCGTGGCTGGGGCAGGGGACCCTGCCTTCAAAAGGCTAAGGACTCAGGTGAGGAAGAAAGGCCAAGATCCTGACGGCAGGGCCTGGCGCAGGCACTGCCTGTGTCCCCCCACCATGGCCAGGTCTGCCCCCATGGACTTGACCCTCTAGCACGGAGCTGGGTAAAGCAACTGCACCCTGGCCCCACATTCAAGTGGTCTGCAAAGGTGCATGGACAATGTCTAGGACAAAGCAACTCAGCACTGATTCCCAGGTATTTTTGAATCAAAATAAACCGGTCCTTTTTTCAAGAACTTAGTGAAGTGCACAGATAGGCGAGACACGGGGCCTTGGGGCCACCAAGGGTGGGAACGTTTCTCCTGGATATTTGAACATCTTTCATGTGTCATACGAAATTACCAACTGAAGAACTAGCCCGCCGTAGACTAGTTCTAGTTTGTTATTCCGGGTGCAGATTCCAGCCTTTTGAGGGCCTCCAAGCCTCCTTCCCTGGGCATGGTCTCCAGAGGCAGCTCCTGTCCCACCTGTGGCTGCCGCCGCGTGCTCCTCTCCTCCAGACACCCCTCCCCCGTATCTGCTCCTCCCGCTACCCAGCCCAGGCGGCTGGCTACTTCCTGCAGGAGCGCGTGGCGAGGGGGGACTTCAGAGTCCCAGTGTCACGTTATTCTGGTTCCCGGGATCTCTGGCCGCCTTGCTAGCTGCTAGGAAACCCCTGTTCAGTGTGACTGGGCTATGACTCGTTAAAGGAAACCTTGGTCTGGCTAAGGAGAACGGAGCCACGGTGCTGGAAGGCGAGGGTCTCCGCGGCTGCGGCCAGGCCTGTCCCAGATGGCCAGTCCCTCACAGGACGCTGCAGGAAGCCCCAGAGCGGATTCCTCCCCAGATGGAGCCGATTCTGCCAACAGCTCGATTTCTGGCCTGCGGGACTGGGAGCCCACACGATTCCCTTGTTTAAGTCGGTGGTTGGTGGCACTCTGGTCACACAGGGTCACACCTGCTGGATGGGAGTGAAGGCTGGGGGCCTGCTGGCCTGGTCTTCATGCCCAGCTCTGTGCCTTACTCATGCAGGGGAACTCGCACAAAGCCCCGCTTCCTCTTCTGTGAGGAGAAGCAAGAGCTGATGTGGTCTCTAGGGGTCTCCAGCTCACCCATCCCACAGGTCAGTCACACGCTCCTTTAAGACGACGGTAAGTGCAGTGGGCATGTGGCACAGGGGGTTAATCTGTTGCTTGGGACGCCTGCATCCCGTGTCCAAGTGGCCTAGAAGTCCCGCTCTGCCTCCGATCCAGCTTCCTTCTAATGCGCATACCCGGGAAGGCAGCAGCTAAAGGCTTAAGTCATTGGGCCCCTGCCACCCATGTGGAAGACTCGGATGGAGTTCCTAGCTCCTGGCTTCGGGCTGGCCCAGCCCCAGCTGCTGCTGGCATGTGGGAGTGACCCAGGGGACAGAGCTCTCTGCTCTTAACCCTGTGTGCCACAACGCTCGCCCCGTTCATGAACCTTCCAAAGGCCCCTCGGAAACACAGGTTCAAAACTTGGGCACCAGAATGAACTCATTCTTCAATGTTGCCATTCGTGAACCAGGTCCCCTGCTACTTGAGCCATCCTAATTGAACTGTGCACTTGAAGGGCCTCCTGCCAGGCGTGCCAGGGAAGGGGTGCGGCAGGCAGGGCTAAGGACTCTGTGTTCTGGGCTGGTTGCTGCTGTAGACTGGGTGTCCTGATCCATTCTGCTCACCAGGCCCCTCATGGAGGAGGAGGGGCAGGGCTGGCGAGCACAGCTCCTGGGGTGAGTGGGGGCTACGGGGGTGCAGTGGGTAGGACCAGGACAGCCACTGTGCCTGTGGCCAACGGTCTCTCCGTGGCCCACGTGGCGGTGTACACGGCCACCCTCTCTGTACCAGGAGACACAGGAAAGGAAGCTGCTGTTTGACAGTTCCATCCTCCCCTGTCCTGCTCCTTGGTGCTACTGAGTCAGGATCTAACTAAATCGTTTGTTACTCCGGGTGCAGATTCCAGCCTTTTGAGGGCCTCCAAGCCTCCCACCCTGGGCATGGTCTCCAGAGGCAGCTGCCTCCTGCCGCTCCCTGCAGGCTGCACGGCCAGGCGTCATATAAACTAGGGTGGGCTTCTGGCGATATTGACAGCTAACTCATGCAGGGGCTTGTTGCGACAGAGCGTCAGTGCCGTGTTGGGAGCATCGTGTGCTTCTCTTTCTCTGCAGGGAAAACAAAAGAGAAGAAAGAAAACCCAGCACCAACACGTGGAAAAAACCACCAGCAAGTGGAACGCGTCTTTGAAATGATCACAGAAAAGCAGAGGATGAGATTGCAAAAAAACTTTTGTACCAAACCAATTTAGCTTTCAATTCTATTCTGTGTGAAGCTTTGCAAGTCTCCGTCGAGCCCAGCTACCGCCAGTGTGAAGTCGCGAGGTCCCTTTGCTGTGGACTGTCGGCTGTCCAGCTCCAGCCTGGGTGCCCTGTAGGGGTGGCGGAAGAGCCCCGGCAGTGGAACCTGCCTGGGGAACAGGGCGGGTGTCCTCCTCCATCCCTGCCTGAGCAAGGCTCTGGCTGGGGTTTCAGTGAAGAGCGGAGAGTGGGGAGTTACTCCACGGTGTTGACCTGGGCCAAGGCGCTCGCCCGACCCCTACGTCAGCATCTGCACGTGGGTATAGCTTACGCGTCAGTACGTGGCTGCTACCCAGATTTCCATGCCAGGAGGGAGCCGGCCAGCCCCTGAGAAGGCCAGCAGCCCTCAGACGAGCCTTTTCCTTAAGGGCCTGATCCAGGACATGGAAGCTGGATGTGTGGAATTTGAAGCTGATGTGACTGTGAAAGAAAGAGGAATGAGCTGGATGAAAGTCTGAGCCAAGGATCCTTCACCAGGTAAGAACAGCAAGTGTCAACCAAGCAGCCGAAACCGGCCGGCAGGATCTCCGTTCCGGGCCTGAGCCCCCCCCCCCCCCAAAGCTGATGCACCTGGAGCCGGCCTGCACACTCAGAGGTGCCCTGAGTTGGAGAGGTGCACCTCAGATCAACCAGCAGTCAGAGGAGGGCTGCTCCCAGGGAGGAGGCGTGGCCTTGGACAAGGCAGGTCCTCTGCACCAAGTGTGTTTCCTGGAGAGAGGCTCAGCCACGAAGCCACAGCGGGCAGCTCTGCTGGCAGCCGTGGGAGTGAGCGCTGGCCCTGCAGGGTGATCTTGGCGGGTGTCACTGCAGCCCACCCCTCGCACCCTTCAGATCCACCAAGACTTGCATACACATGCTGGGAGCAGACTCACTCTGGCCCCAGGGTTCTGGTTGTCCCATAAACCCAGCGCAGCCCCCAGGCATGCAGGAGGCACTCCTACTGCTTCCCCTCCACCCCAGCTGGATTCAGCTCCCAACACCTGTGCTCACCTCTGTGGCTCCACACGCGTGCTGCCCAGAACCTGGTCCCTGAAGGCTCTGACCCCCGGCTACCACCGCCTCTCAGGCCTCTCTCTCTGTCCCCAGGACTTCCTGCACAGATGTCTGTGCTTCTCAAATTACTGTCAAAATTGGGCAAGAAATAGTCCTCTTGGTGCCAAACGTAGTCCTCTATCCTCTGTGTGTGTGTGTGTGTGTGTGTGTGTGACAACAAACCCACTTCCTCCTGAGAAGCAAGGTCCCTTAATACTGCTGGGGTCGTCTGTCCTTGCCTGCTGGTTTGTCAACATAAGCAGCTGAGAGGGACTGGGTGACATCGTAGCCTAAAGGACTTGCAGCCCCACAGAGCCCAGTGTTGTGGAGACGGGAAGCACGGGTTCCACACGTGGGTCCCCAGGAGGGTTGGCATACAGGAGGCCTTATTAATCCCTCCTGCTACCTCTTGCATCCCATCCCATGCATCCCACCTCGCAGGGAGGGAGCACCCTGTACCTGAGCAGACTGTGTACTGCTGCCTTCTGGACAGTGACGTCCTCGGCTCACAAGCGTCATCCCCAAAGTGGTGTCTCAGCTGCACTTCCAAAGACTGGCTCCCCACTGCGTCAGGGTGGCAGCGTGGGACAGGCCAGAAGGAACGTGTGGGCTGATGCCCACTGCCCTGGCTCCTTTGCTCAACAGTGGTTCTCTTCATCGAAAGCAGTGCCCTCGGAAGGCGGTGCAGTGTCCCTGCAGACAGGAAAGGCAAACCCATACCAGAATGCATGCCGTCCTGATAGAAGTGCATCAATTCCCCTGTGAGAGTAAAATGGGTTCAGTGGACTCAACTTGCCACCCAGCGGCCAGTTGGTCTCCTTGGAGGAGAGTGCCACACCGGTGCCTCAGCACTGGTCTCCTCTGCTAGTAGGGTGGACATGTGACATTGGATTACCAGGTTAGCTCGGTTGAGCAGGGAGTCACTGCTGTGGGGTCTGTGTGTTGCCTCTGTCCTACCCCCTCCTCCCTATACACAAACCCACTGGTGCCATCCAAAGACGGCCTGTGTCCAAGGCTGACATCGACCACTGGACTCATTCTGTCCACCTGGGGCTTATTCCACTGGGCATGCTCTCCAAAGGGTGCAGCACCTGATACAAGGATAGTCCCACCCCTGACCACGCACCATGGTTCATCCACAATCCGCATGCCTCTTCCCTGAACCTTCTTACCACTTCTTTCTCTTTCTCTTTCTAGACCTGTGGCCGGGGCTGACTCACTTGCTGTGTCACAAGAGTCTATGTAAGTCCTATCTCAGGCCATTTCTCTTTCAATGCAAACCTGACGAGCAGGCGCACTGGCTGAGGCTTTGCCCACTGGGAGGCACCCCCATCCCTGCTGCTTTCCAGGCCCTGAGCGGGGCCGGGGTCTAGCAGCGGTTCATTTCCAGCATGCACCTTGAAACCAAGTCGACCCATCCATGAACAGCTTGGTGTTCTTAAGGGACCCCCTGATAGAGGCACCGGTGGGCACTAGGCAACAAGGGTGGGTGACGTGGCAGTGTGGGCTTCCTTCTTGGGCAGTCTGCTGGTGGCGACCGGGCCTGCTTATCCTGATCCCAGGGGTACAACTTACCCATCACGGCTGTCATCGTCAGTGTTACAGCGTGGTGGCTCTGCGTGAATGCAGCCCAGGCTGCACAGCATTGACTTCAGCGTCACTTAGTGGGACCACCTCTACCAGGCCTAGCCGCACGCTAACGGCTCTTTGTCTCTAGTGGGGGAGTCTCTGCTACTAATCGCATGGCCTTGTGCCACAACGCGAGGCTTCTGTACAGTAATTCTCCTCTTAGAGCTACCTATAAGCCCTGCCTTGCTGCTTTCCTCCCAGGGACATGCACCCCTCCACAGAGGCTCCCGCTCGTGGGGCTCACAGCTTACACAGCCACCAAGGCCTGGCACAGACTCCAACCTGCAAGGTAGCAGCCTTCCACGGCCCTCAGCAAATGGGCTGGGGCAGCTTTCCCAGCTGGGAAATGTGTCCCTGCGAAACGCACGTGGTGGGAACTTAACCCCCAGCACCACGGTGTTGGGAGTCGGGGCTTCCTGGCAGGTGTTTCGGCTTTGGGATCAGAGCTGTGGTGGAACTAACTCCACTATCTCAGGGGTGAGTTCCTCGCCGAGGGGTGAAGTTGGTTCTCTCTCGCCTTTCCGCCGTCTCCCATGAGATGGCACAGCAAGGACACCCCAGAGGCTGCCCCCTTCATTACGGATTTCCCAGTTTCTAGGATTGCGAGAAATACATTTCGGCTCATTGTAAATCACCCGGTGTGCCGTATTCTGGCGTGGCCCACATGGCGGCCTGGGGCCCGCCGCGCACTGTGCTTCCCTCCGAGGGGTGATTGCAATCGCTCGCCCTCTCCATTGGAGGGGACTTCCTGGCATGCCGCGAGCACCCAGCTCCTCAAGCGTTCACTGCTCATGGCCCCCTAATTCTTTGCAGGCTTATTCCCCGCTCGTGGGCGCACACCGGTCTACGCCAGGGCTCTGGCATGCTTCCCTCTCCTTCATCATCCAGTTCTGTTGACCTGATGTCACCGATTCTGCAGGCCAATGAAATTCCCTGCGATTGTCTGGACAGTTCTAGACCGCTCCGACCGTTCCACGCGAGAGAACAGGCGTGCCCGCCAACCCCTTCCGTCTGTGTGATTTGCCACCCGAAGAGAGCGAGCCCCGGACGCGCCCAGCCTAACTGTGGCCGTGATGACGCCCGTCCCCGTTTATCAGCTCTGAGTATTGGCCCCAGTCGGCCTGGAGCAGCATCAGCCACACAGCAGCTGCGTGACTCCTGCATGGAGACCTAGGCTGCACCTCCGCAGTGGGCTGGCTCAGGGCCAGCAATGGGCAAGGAGTCCTTCTCGCTCCTCCTTCTTTTCTTGCTCCTCCTTCTCCTCCTCATTACCCTCCTCCTCCTCCTCCTCCTCTTCCTCTTCCTTGTTCTGGCTGTTGTTTAAACTGGAGCCACCGCTCTCAGCCTTCTGACCATCCGTCCTTACTTTCCTGGTTGGCGTAGCTCAAGCAATCCCCTCGTGAGCTGTCCCAAGGGAAGGGAGACAGCCCATCCCCATCACATGACCTTGGGGATGAAGCGGCAAACGTGTGAACTGCGGGGGAACACCTGCCGACCTGCGCACCCTCTCCTGCGAGCATTGCAGTCTACGCCCCAGACCCCGAGACCTGCAGCTGCTGCTGCGGCCTTCCTGTTTTGCGTCCACCCGGCTCCGGCCATCAAGCATGCGCCCGGCCCCTGTTCTTTCCTTCCAAGGCCCTCGCCTGCCAGGTGGCAGCCGCGTGCTGCAGCCAGCTCTCCCAGGGCCACGCCTGGCCTGCAGAGGATGCAGCCCCGAGCTCCTGCCGGACGCTGGTACCATCTGTCCCTGTGGTGCTGTCGGGCCCTCCCGTGGAGCGGTAGGATTCTCCAGCACGCCCACCCCTCAGGCACTTCTGAGCCCCCTGAATGGCTCGTTCTCCTTTCCCAGGGTCCTTTTCAGCGTGTGAAATCCTGCATGCAGCCACAGGCATCCCAAATGATCAATCTTACGCCCCCGGCTTGCCGTGCCCTGGTCCTGAGGCAGCACCCTCAGAGCAGTGGGCATCCCTGTGGCCGGTGGCTCCTGCCCCTGCCCTCCCTTTGAAGGCCGAGTGGCCTGGCCCTAGTTATCAGCCACAGTGTCCAGGAGGGGAAGCAGCCCCTCTGGCAGGTCCAGAGCGTCCAGGAGCCCTGAGGCTGCCAACCGCTCAAGGTCATGGTCGCAGGGATCCCCATCCCATGTCTCTGGCCCTGCTCCTTCTCACCCAGAGCTGGAAGCCCAGCAGAGCTGGCTTGACCCAGGTGGAGAATTCAGAATCTACTTTGGCGCTCTCCCCTTATAGTTAATCCTCAGTCTTGGACATCAGCTTTCTCTTCCTTCCAGCTGTTGGGGAGGTGCATCGCTTTGTATGGAGCCCAAGGAGCCCAGGACTCTCACACACTTTGCTTCACATTCGTAATTCATCACCTCCAGCCTTTTGTGGCTTGGTTTCCCATCCATGGATTGCATTCAGCAAGAGCCGTACAATTTCGTTGTCCTCATAATTACTAATTTCCCCAGTCCCCAGCTTGCAACCTCCTGAAACACACAGCCTGCCCTGCACTCCCTTCTAGCCCCGTGGCTCCACCAGGAAAACTTGGTGCCCATTGTGCCCACAAGAACAGGAGCTCCACACCCTCCGCCCCTACCAGTGATGGGGTCGGCGGTGTCCCGCAGCCAGCAGCCAAGTCAGCTCCACAGCCTCAGATCACTCCTGAGTTCCAGTTGCCTTGGGTTGGGTCCTGAGACTGCCACAAGGACTCGCACACAGCAAGCAGGGCCGGGAGTGCCTGGATCAGCGTCCGGGGCAGTGACACCTGCCGAGCTGGGCAGAGGGAGAGGCGGGCCTGTGATGCACCTGCAGCAGAGGCCTCAGGTGTGAAATCCTGTATCCAGGGAGAGGCGCCCATATTGATAAATTCTCACTTCCCTGGCTTGACACTCCCTGATTCGTGATCCGGCACCCTCCATGTGATGTGTGCCCACATGGCGGGCGGCTCCGCACCATCGGGGTTCCAGCGCTGGGAAGGACTTTACAGAGATGCACCTGCCACTCATTAGACTGGGCTGCCCTCTCTCCACGTGTGGGAGGGGCCAGGCCTTGGGGGAGCCTGTCCGTTATGCTCAGGGCACTTCCTACAAAGAGACTCAGCCTGGAGCCAACAACGGGCAACTGTGGCAGCCGCTGGAGTAGGAGCTCAAGTCTTGAAGGGGAGTCGGAGAGAAGTGCAAGCTGCCAGAGGACAAGCTGGGGGAGTGAAGGCCCAGGAAGCAGGATCCAGCACGTGATGCCACGCTCGGAGCGCTGGGACGGGGATGTGTCCTGTGGGACCTCGTGGGCCAGTGCAGCAACAGCAGGTGTCAATTCTAACAATGACACAAACCTCATCTCTGTCCAGGAAGACTCGGGAGCCCTCTGACATGGGAGATGGAGGGCAGTGAATTTGGGCGCTTTGAGCTCCCCATCCCTGTCGTGTACAAGTGGAGACCAGGCCACCGACAGCCACAGCCTATCAGAATGAGGCAAAATCCAAACATCTGAACGACTGCTTCCTGCCCGTCCAGAGACATCTTGCCTGAACTTGCAGGAGCTCTGCTCTTAGCCAGGGCAATGGTGATGCCCCTGCTCTGGGTCCTATGTTGTGTTAGGGTTCCCTGTACAACACGAGGTCGACCAGAGGCTGGATCGAACGCCTGGAGTCCACGGTGACGCGAGCTGTCCTCCTGGAGGGACCCAGTGCACCCACAGCGCCGAGAAGTCCTGCCGTCCCGCGTGTCCCGAGCTGGACCGCGCATCCGCCAACCCCGCACCCAGATGCGTGTGCATCCCTCTGTGTGCACACACGAGCGCTTCCCTACACAAATATACGTTTAAGATTTACTGTTCTGGAAAGCCTAGTGAATAATGTAAGTGATGAAAGCCTGCGTGTGGCAGCAAACATTGCTGGGGCCGCCTCATTGACATGCAGCGTCTCACACGCGCCTGCTAAGACACACGCCGCATGAATTATGGATTCCGGGCCTGATCTCGCACACGGCACATGAATGTTTGATAAAGATTGTTTCCAATATTATATTTTGTCAAAATGCTCATCTACAATTCAGTCGGAGATGCTTTCCGGTAATTATGCACTGACTCCACAGGCGGTGGGGGTGGGGGACCCTTGGTGTCTTGGCGTGGTCATCGCTGTGTGTGTGCATGAGTGCACGCGTGTGTGCGTGTGCTGTGTTTGTTTCACCCCAGGGGTGTCTGTGCTGGTGGAGAGGGACTGGCCCCCGTGTCCCATATTCCTCCTGGCCGCCCTCATGACTAAAGCGGCTACAAGGAGCTCTCCTCCTCCCCGGGCAGGTGCGCGGGGGTCCGTTCCTCCGACGTTCTTGTAGTCGGCTCTGGCTCCTTGGCAGTGTGGCCTTCACCTTATCTCCCTCCGAGTCGCAGAGCCTCTACAACACGCGTTCTCACCCATGCTCTGCTGGCCCTCGGTGGCTCGTCCTTCTCTCTCAGCCAGGATGACCCGGTGCCCGGGTTGCCACACTCCACTTTGCAGTCACAGCAGCTGTCACCCGTTCCCCCGACGGCTCCCCAGAATCCCTCTTACCGCACGCTCCGGGTAAACACTGTCCGTGCAACAATGACGAAGTACAAGACGGGAGCCCCTAGTCGTCTCCTTACAACAAGGCCGGTCTCCACTCTGCAGGCTGTCACCTGGCCCAGGTGGCCCCGCGGCCACCTCCTCTGGGTTCTCACGACCCTAATCCACACTTTGCTCCTGATTTTGTCTGCCTGGAACGCCCTCCTTCCCCATCCCCTGGGCAAACTCCTCCTCATGCTTCAAGACCTCTCCTAACACTCTCCTCCCCTCCCCCAGCTCCCTCTCTGTCCACACACACACACACACACACACACACAAATCATTTCAGAGGTGGTTTCCCAGGGAGGTTTACTGATGGGATCACAGAGAGTAAGGCTACGGCCTAAGCCAGTCAGTCACCAGTCACGGTACACGGGAACATGCTGAGTCACGGTACACAGGAATGTGCTGAGTCATGGTACGTGGGAATGGGCTGAGTTATGATATACGGAAACGTGCTGAGTCACGGGACATGGGACATCCAGGTCCTGCACTCACAGATGGCGCTGGACTCTCACAACACAGAAATGGAAAAGGTGTCCCCTTGGCCTGCCCTGGTCTCAAGGAAAACCAGCCTGCAGGTGGGAGTTGTAGCCCTTAGGGGAAGCGAGGCAGGCAGCACTGATGGAGGTGGCCAAACTGAGCCCGCCCACCGTCTCCCCCTGTCCTCAGGCAGTCAGAGGCCCCTCCCCATCCAGTGTCACCTGTGTGCCTGCCTCTGCTCCACTCGCACCCAGGACCTGTCCCCTGAGCCATCGCACTTCTCCCCAGCCCCGCAGCAGCGCCAAGCGGCCTGCAAGGACACTGGGCTGCCTCCCACAGCCCCCATGCCTCCTCCCTGCTCCTCCCACCCTCGTCCACAGCCAGCAGATCTTTCCACACCCAAATCTGACCGTCTGGTTCCTTGCCAGGAGCCCTCACCGTGTCTCTGTCTCTCCTAGCCTAGACTTGAAGGGCCCACGGGCAGCATTGGCCATGCCGAGCCTCGGGAAGACCTGGCGCCCAGTGCCAAGACAGGCTGGGCAGACGCCAGCGGGCCAAGTGCTGGCAATCGGGCCCAGACTGACCCTGGGGCTAGGCCACGCCCACTGTCCCCGACATGCCTTCGCCTCTGTTCCACGTGCTTCTCTGCTGTCCCTTCGTCGGGTACCACACAGGGGCTTGCAAGATGTGTCTGGTTTCACAGGGGCCAGGACACGCAGCAGCCCTGGGATCCATCGGGAAAGCTGTCTGCGGCATCCGGCGGGGCTGCCCACGGGCGGGCCTGGCACGGGAGCCGCATGGGACAGCGCCCACTCCCAGCACCCAATGCCCAGCACATGC